ATTGTAATCCCCATTGATATTAATTTTTAGGTCGGAAGCTGCATAAGATGCATTTGGAGTTTATCCTGTGATGGCAACCGAAGGGGGGACATAGATTCTCACAAAGTAAAAGTTGATGTCCCGTATTCTAATTTCACTGATTATTAAGTCTCTTTTAGTAGTAATAGGTTAAAAAGTCAACTAGTTCATGATTTAGGAGAATTGCCGCTCTTGGCTTATGATCACCAGCAATTATATCTATTCCAGTCTGAAATTCTGTAATTTTATTATCTATGTTGAAATAGGGTTCATTTAATGAACTTACAGCAATCTGTTTAGAGATAGAATCTGCGGAGTGTTCAGCATTAGCAAAATGGAAATGGTTAAAATTAATATGAGCTATTTTAAGTTTGTGAATATCTTTATCCATAATTTATTCTTTTAATAATCTCTTGTCTCTCCCAGATGTAGGTTTCACAGTATTTATAGAGTGAGCTATGGTTTGTAGGAAGATTTAAGTTGCATCTCTGATTCGATTGTTTACAATTAATGCACCTACCTTTGGCAGTGCAATCATAAATTTTGTGGCCCTTTTACTGTCACAGTTTGCTCATACCTCTTCTGCTTTGCAGTTTTTTGTTATATGGCCAAACGAGCAACACTTAAAACATTGCATGTCTCGTATATATTCCTTTGTTCTAATTCTGCACCAACCCAAGTTTATTTTTTCTAATCGTAAAACTGCCTTAAATGTATCTGGATCAGTTTCGATAACCCAGTGGTTACCATTCTTTGCCCTTAATGGAAATTTCACGTCAATGATTCCGTGTTCAAGGGCTGGGTTTTGTTCCTTAATTTTTTCTACCAATTCTTCCCTAGTAAATTCTTCTTGTTCGTCATTTGGTATTATTCTCGGATTCAATTTCTTAGGCTTACCACAAGTAAAGTCTTTTCCTAGGTCTCCTTTCTGAATTTCGTTTTTCAGTTTTTCTATTTCCTCCTCCTCGCTTACCTGCACAATAATGCCACCATTTCTAATCTTATTGACACGCTTGACTCCAATCTTAAGTTTAATTGGATCAATCTTATTAGTGATCTCCTGTAGAGTGGCATCGGATGAGCTATCCGGATTCCTCGGGTGAATTAGAAAGACGTGCTCTTGTTTGCGTCCTGCGAAGGTGGATTTCAAAGTTGGTCCCACCGTGATGGCTTGAGTGGAAGTACCCAATGCAGTCACCGCAGTTGCAGTCACCGCAGCAAAAGTTGACCGTAACTGTTTAATGATCTCAGATTTCTCATGTATTAGTCCTCTTAAAGCATAAATAATAGCATTCTGTTGGTTTATTAAGCTAAGAAATGAAGCAGCCCCATCCATGATGCGTTTCTTTGAATCCTTCGAAAATTTGCTACTAGTCTTTGCCAGGAGAGCACTGAGTTGTTTTTGGATACCAATCGCTTCCTTGAAAAAGTCTGTCTTGGGATCTAGAACATCGGGGTTGACCGTTGAAAACTCCCTAGCTTGCTCCAGCAGCTGACCCTCAGAATCCGATCCAGAAGAATCACGAATTCACGACTGTTAATGTTCAATTTCGTAGCCTTGTAATTTTGAATCCAATCCAGAAGACAACATAACTTTTGGATCAAGCATTGGGAAAAATTTGCCTTCGCGGAAGACTTATAGATGGAATTAACCCGCAATTTCGTTACTTGGAGAGTAAGTTCACAAGAACCTCCCACGGTTATCCTGACGGCAAGGGGACTCTAACCCGTTATCCGTCTACATGTGGTCGATGCAAGCCGGATGTGGAATTCGAGTCGACTGGTATTCGAACCCGGTTCACCTCATTAGAAGGCGAACGCTCTATCCCCAATCCGGAGCCATGAAGGATCACTTCATGGCTCCGTTTGCGCGTATTGAAAATCTCTAACCAAATACCAAGAAAATTACACGAATATTTTTGGAATACATCTGCATATTTTTGGAATCTTTGTTAAAAATAAAATATGAAAAGTATGCTAATAAGGAGTAGCAAATTAATGTTTATGTAACGAAAAATTAAAAATACTTTTGAAATTGAACGAATTACTACTAGGGAAGATGGGACTAAATACTTCAAAATGTCTCAGATTTCTAGATAAAACATAAATATGATTATTAGTAATACTTTCAATTTTTCATGAAATTCAAATTGGCTTAGGTATTCTCAGTTTTGTCTTTCACGGTAGTGCAAATTGCTAAATTTTGATCAATTTTTTGTATTTTTTGAGTCTGAATTCGTGATCTTAATTATCCGTACCCTTCAAAAATTAATTTTTTTATCAAGGACCCCAAAAAAATACCATTAGGTTTCTTACTAAGAACTTTCTGTATATTTCTTATTTAAATTCTAAACTGTATGCAGATTTTTTTTTATCGAATAATGCAAATAGAAAGGTAAACTTACAATAAACATTTTCCTTCTATTATTATCAAGTTCCTTTGTTTTAATAAGAGCAATTTAGTTTTGATCAATTAGTTACATAAAATAAATTACTTCTTTTTTAATTTTTTTGTCAAAAATATTTTTAAAAAAAGATAAAGGATAAATAAGATGATTATCCATTAATTGTGATTTACTTCGTTATATTTTGTCTTCTTTAGGCTTTAAAAAAATTCATATTTATTGTTAACACACAAAACAAAATAAAATACAACCTATGTTCGTTTAAACATTTTTAAACTGTTTCATCACTTTAGCAAAATTACATTTCATAATCACCCTATTTATAAGCCCTTAAAAAGAGTGAAATATTATCTCTATCATTCCTTTCTATTTTCAGTTACACGAATCATAGATTATATTTCAAAAAATTAAATGACCCAAATAGCGATTTAAATCAGAAAATTCAATAACTTCAAATAAATATCCACACAAAGTTATAACGAGTTTAAGGAAATTTAAATCAAATTAATCAAGCAATCAAATTAAATTTTTGTGACAGACACTTTTCTAGATACGCAAATCACGTATAAAATTAATTTTGCCTTTGAAGAAATTACGTTAAAAAGACCAAAAATTACAAATGTTTTTCTTAATGCGTTGGTGCCACGATATACAGCTTACAGACGATGAGCCCTTGCAATAAGACCAATTCAGAAATTTCTATATTTTTACTTTAAAAGGTTAAAACTAAACGATTTCCTATAAAAACTAGAATAAAAATTCTATTGCCTCAGGTTACGAATTTCAGAATTTTGCGATTATGTTTCAAAGTAACAATTTCTTTACCGAGTAAGAATTTAATTCCTTGATGCAGAGTTTTTATCAAGCATATTTTTCTACATTTTTATAAATTAGGTCAAAAATAAATAATTTATGGCTATGAAATATAGCATGAAACATTGGTGTATTTCTCTGCGTTAAATGTAAAATATTTTAAACACGGCCCACTTCCGAACAATAATTTTTAAATTTGTGCTAATTTAGGTCTAAGAGAAAAATTATTTTATTTTTGAAATTTCTTTAATTTACAAAATCAATTATTGATTGATTTTTGAATATCGCAAACTACATTTTTGTGCATTTTATATTTTAGTGCAAATTTAATTCTGATAATCTAAGATATTTTTTTACTATTTGTTATACCGTCTTTATATTTAAAAAAATATCAAAATATATTTTTGCTTGTAAATAGAGCATCAGGAAAAATATATTAAAGGGACACCGGTGTCCCATTTGTGTCGAAGGGTTATAGAATATTTTTTTTTTAATTTTATTTTAGCATCTTAAATGTGATTTTTTTAAAATTTAATAATTATAACGTTTTTGGTTGAATATTCCCGATTCTTTTCAATTAATTTTGCAACTTAAATGTTTGCAACTATTTCAGTAATTATTAAACTGTTTTTTATCATTAAAAATGCCAAAAAAATATTTCTGCTCGTAATTAGAGCTTCAGAAAAACTATATAAAAGGGACGCCGGTATCCCCTCTGTGTCAAAGGACTATCAGAAACTTTTTTTTCTTGATTCATTTAAAATTTAATTGTTTATAATGTTATTGATGTTATATTTTCAATTCTTTCTAAATAATGTTTCAACTTAAAAGTTTGCAAATATCTCATCAACCAAAGCCAAATCGTTCATTATTTTATATGTACTATTTCTAAATCAAATAAAATAGATGCATAAAATATAAGCTTCATTAACTAATGTCTTTTCAAGTATCTGGTTTGTTCGTAAAATTTATAGCACGTTTTATTTCTCTGTTTTACATTAATTTATGATGTCTCCAATCCTGAAAATTGTTTTAAATTACAGATTTATAGTGAATTTAAACATAAAATTAACCCTCAAACTTACACCAAGTCTCTTAAATGATATCTTCTTAAGAAACTAGTACAAAGTTTACCAAACTGGTAAATTTTAATAAAAGTAATAAATGATTAAAATTTTATTACCTCTAAAAACAGTAGGAAATTTATCTTTTAACTATAATGTAAATGAAACGTAACTACACTGTTATATTAGTTAAAGCATAGTGATAGTTTTTAAAAAATTTCTTTGGCTGATACTCTTGAGAAATTGATCTGAAAAAAAGAGTGATGTGCTGTAATATATTGAATTAAAATGAAGTCTGAAGCGAAGCAATGTTTAATCTGGATGTGAAAATGAAGTCAGAACTGAAAAAAATTCTTGCCCTATTTGATCAGATGGATATTTCATAAAAAAAAATCTTGATTTTATCAGGCTGATGATGAAAATATCGTTTTTTTTATTTCAAAAATGATATCATTTCAGCGTGAAATAGTTGGATTATTTTATATTTAAAAAATACCTGAAATCAATTTTTGATCTAAAAGCATTTACATACGTTTAAGACAGAAACTAGAAACTAATTAATTTTTAAATGTTAGGTATTTTTTAGGATTTATGTTACCAAAAACACTTCAGAATAAACTTTCACTCCTATTAGATGTCGACCTACACTTTCTTCCGGATCAAAATTTTTTTATTCATTTGACACGTATTCAGAAGAATCGCTGATTAAATATCTTTCACATTCAACTTGAGTATTGAGATGAAAAGTTATGTCTAAAAAGATAAGGTATTCTAATAAGACGAGTTCATGTCGAGGGATTTACATTTCATGTAAGGGAGTTATATATAGTCTTGATAATAAGGAAAATCGTTAAATTAATATATATAGAAGTAGCTCCTCCATTGTATCGCATTTTATCATAGATTGTAAAATAATTCCACATTGTAAAAATGTCATCTATCAAAATTCAAACAGGGTTTCTGATTGGTATTGTCCTATGCTTTCTTTCTGGTATGTGACTATTTAAATTTATATATATAAAAACGCATATGATTTGAAATATGTATAATAAACTATTATGCTTGCTTTATGTTTCATATTTTCAATTACATTTTATATTTTCTGTTTTCTATTGAATGAAATATTTCTGGTATAGAAAATTAAGTCGAGTTAAGTTTATAGATTTATTTTAGCTTCAATAAATTTTAAAATTATGTAGATTAAGGATGGACACAGTGCTATAAAAGTTAATTGCCCAGCAAGGCTTGATGATTTAAAATTTACTTTTTGGCATAGATATCTAACTTTCACATACTAACCCGGGCAGACGAAGAATGAACCACAAATACCTTTTCAGGATTTTGAAGATATTTTGTAACATTTCTGATAGATTCTTTTATCGATAGTAATTACTAGCACTCTTCATTTACTCCATCTTGAAAAATAACCAATGAACAACGCGAAACAATTTCGAAGCGTTTAATGCATATTTGATAATATTAGTTGGGATTTATTCTTAAAATAAAAGTGTTGAAGTGGAATTCATTATAGAGTTACACTATATTTGAATGATTTATACTTTTTATATTCTCTCCGATGTTTTGAAAACTTATAACAGAAAAAGGTTACTAACACATCGACAAATTTTGTTATACATAATAACGAAACATTATGATTTTTTTTTCAAATTTTCAATTTGTGAACCTCTGGCGATACGGCGGCCTGAAGCCATGCCGTACAATTTGTAACATGTCAAGATATATAATAGCGAATGCGGTTGTGATCCTTTGCCATATTTCCTTATCACTAAGCATAGGTCACAAACACTTACTCTTTGAAATAGTCCCTAAAAAAAATTACTGGGTCTGGAGAGCCGGTGTCCATGGAAATATTCGAGATGTCGTCGCCTGACCCGCCCTATCCATCTACTAGGAAGTTCGTTATATAGAAAATCATAAACATCTGTCTGATAATGAGTAGGGTGTTCTCTCTCATTGAGAAATGAGGAACGCATAACTTCCTACTATTGCGGAATTAACCACAGTTGCAGCACATCAACGAAGGAACACAGCCGCATTCACGACCATTTATCGTAGCATGTTGCAGCGAGCGTGGCAAGAATTTGACTTTAAAATTGAAGCCCGCCACATCACCTAATAGCACATTTATGATAAAAAAATTTGGTGTTCCATTATCTGATGAAACAAAATTCATGAACGTGTTGATAATATTTTATTGTTATGAGCATTCCAAACCCCGCAGGGAATTATGATACACTCTGTATATATATATATATATATATATATCAGGGGTCTGTCTAGGTTTTTCTGTGAGGTACCTATTTTGTGAAAATTTAAACATAATTTGCGAAAAATTAAAAATTATATAAAAAAATCAACACAAAAATGTGGATTTATCNACATTAGTTGTACTAAAATAATACTCTCTGAATAACTTCTGATACTAAATATTTTAAAGTTTCATAGGAATTGAATAGGGAAAAAGGACATTGATTGATTTTTTTGTTTAAATTAAGTATTGAATTATTAATATATATATGAAAGGGTAGCAGTCATGGTGAGTGTTGTTAGGCCACGCAGACAGCAGTTGGAAGGCAAAAAATACTTTATTAGCTTCACATAGTATTTAAGACATTTTCTAGCAAAGGCAGAGCTCAAATTCGCCCTCAAAAACTGTGTGCTTCAGTTTTTATCTTAGGGAAAGTAGCAAAGGAATTTCCCTCTATTTTATTATATTTGAGAGGTAAAGGGAAGTCCCAAGGATTACTATTGGTTTATGAAAGAGATCGAGCGTTTCCCACACAGAGCAAGGGGAAATATGTCCTGCTCTTAATTAAATGCATAGTTGAGCCAAAAATAGATTTAAGAACAGGATGTGGCTTTTAAAAGTGTGAGAAAGTATTTCAAATAGAATAATTAATTAGGATTAAAGTAGGAGTCGTTTTATAGCAAATAAACTAACATAAAAAGATTAATAGAAGCTTTTTATGTTACATCCCCCCTCGCCGAAAAATTTTAACTAACATCAAAAAAAAAGTTTTAAAATTATCCCTTTGCAAAACTTTCCTTATGATGACACAATTAAAATAATAATAATAATAATAATATTTGTAATATCAACAAGATATAAAGTAACATGAATTTAAAAAAAAAAACACATTTGTACACTATGTAAAAAAAATTTTTCATAAAATGTTAGAGGAAAAAAAAATTTGAAGTAACAAAATGAAATGTTAGATCACCATTTTCAAGAATTTTTTGTGATTAAGTTTTTTCAGTCCTTCTTGATAATCACAGTAAATAAAGTTATTCCTCATACAGGGGACCCGGAAAGTAAAAAATATCAAAATTTTCGAAAATACTTTTTTTATTTCATTAAATAATTTNGTGATTAAGTTTTTTCAGTCCTTCTTGATGATCACAGTAAATAAAGTTATTCCTCATACTAACACAATTAAAATAATCTTTTCCATAAAACAAGAAAAATCTATAAAAATGTTCTAAAACATGTAAATATTCATATTCAACAACATGAAAGATAAAAAAAATAATGAAAATGCAAGTGATATGAGATATAAAAATACAAATTGACACTTTTTATCAAAAAAAATTCCAATATAAAATTTAAAAATTTTTTGACACAATGGTCTTTAATCTGACTTCAGTATTTTTATTAGAGGAAATTGTTTCGTTGGATTAGGGGCTGTATTCCCCAAAAGGAGGAAAACAGTCCCTATTCTCAACAATAATGTGCTGGAAGATCCTAGATTCAACAAGGTGCATAAATATTTAATTTTTTGGTTTTCTCCAGAGACAAAACTACGATCGCCCCATATCCTACTAGATTTGGGTAAAGTTGAACTTGAAGAAAATTTGAAAAGTCGGATCTTCCAGAAAAAGGGGACCACATGTTCCATTGAACCATGTGTATTAATGTCATATTTGGTATTTATAATGTTTTTTTAACAAAGAAAAATCATTGAATTTAATATAAAATATAGTCAATTCCATTTAAATAATTACATGTCTTTTATTCGTGACATAATTTCAGTTTGTGAGGTGGATGGTACCTTCTCAATTTTGATATATGAACTATTTCTGTATTTTCTTTATTATGACTATTCTTCTTATTTATTTTATAATTAACATCAGAAATTTTTTCAAGAATTATATATGGACCGGAAAAAGTTGGGGTAAGTTTCCTAGTATTGGGGTATTTAAAATCTTCATATATGACAGTATCATCAGGGGAAAATTCAATATGGGTAAATCTTGCATCATAATAAATTTTATTTTTTTCATGATAATGTTTAGTTCTTTCAACTGCAATTTTTCTTGCTTCTTATATTAGTGGAAAAATTTCTTCGGATAAAGGATGATTAAATGAGACTTTGCCAAACATTAAAAAAGCTGGTGGGAATTTAGTTACTGAATGTGGAGTTAAATTGTATTCTTCGGTTACTTCTTTTAATAATTTAGGCCAAGGAACTTTTTTAGAAGAATCATTAATTTTGCATTTTAAACGTGTTACAATGGTTTGTCCTAAACGTTCAACTTTTCCATTAGTTTCAGGTCTATGGGCTGTAGTTAACAATTGTTTGATTTTGCTATGTTTAAGAAATTTTTTAAAGTGGGAAGAAGTAAACGCGGCATTTCTATCACTCAAAATACTTTTAGGGGTTTGAATTTGAAAAATTTGGTGCAAAAAATTTACATAGGTTTCCGTAGTTATTGATTTAGATGCAAAAGACCACATATATCGAGTGTGATGATCAATTACTAAAGTTAAATATTTTTTGGTAGAATTGTAATAATTAAAACCACCTACACTATCGATTGCAATTATTTCAAAAGGTTTGTCAACTGGGGGCATTTCCTGAAGTAACCCAAATCTTTTCTGTCTAGGTTTTTTATTAATTTGACAAGTATGACAATGTTTGTTAAAATTTGTAATGTCCAAAGTAATATTTTCCCAATAGTAAACAGGAGTAAGTAAATTAATAGTTTTTTGAATTCCGGGATGGCCAAATTTTTTATGAGTAATTTCAAGTAATTTATGCCTTAAAGAAAATGGAACAACAATTTTGGTAAAACCCTTTTTACGTATACACAAAACATTATCTATTTTAATAAAATTTCCAGTTAAATTATCATTTTGTTGGGCTTCGCGAATTTCGTCTAATTGCAAAAGATGTGAAAAATGGCTTACATTATTTAAATCAACATTACTATTGTGTTCAATATTGTCAGGAATATCTCGGGATAACATGTCAGCTTCAAAGTTTAAGGTGCCTTTTGTGTATTTTATATCATAATCATACATACTCAATAGTAAAGACCAGCGGAACAATCTACCTTTCAGATTTTTAACATTTTTTAACCAAACTAAAGCCGCATGATCTGTATGTATGGTAAATTTATTTCCAAATAAATAGTGATAAAATTTGTTTAATGCATCAACAATAGCAAGACATTCCAGTTCTGTGATAGCATAATTTTTCTCATAGTCTCTAGGAGAACGAGAATGGAATGCTATTGGATGTAAGACACCTGTAACATCTGGCTGTTTCAAAATTGCTCCAACACCACTTTGACTTGCAACAACAAAAATATGACATGGTAATTTAGGATAAAATATTTTCAAAATAGGTTTACAAACTAAAGCATTTTTTAAAATTTCGAATGCTTCTTGACATTTGGGAGTCCAACACCAGGGTGTATTTTTCTTTAAGAGATTATTTATAGGTGCTCTAACTTTAGCATAATTGTTTATAAATTTATTATACACATTTATTGAACCTAAAAATCGTTGAAGAGATTTAACATTAGTTGGAGGTTTCAAGTTTTTAATTGCTTCAATGTTGTTGTTATCAGGAGTTACTACACCATTGTATATTTCATATCCCAAAAATTGAATTTTAGTTTGCAAAAAAGAACATTTAGAAGCTTTTAATTTTAAGTTTTCAAATCTACATATTTCAAAAATTTCCTTTAGATGATTTAAATGTTCTTCAAAACTATTAGAATAAATTATGATATCATCAAAATAATTAGCTGCAAATGAAACTTTATGTTTAGTGAGTATTCTACCTATTGTTCTTTGAAAAATACTAGGGGCGTTCTTCCACCCAAATGGCAATCTTAACCATTCGTATAACCCACTGTTGGTGTCAAAAGCAAGTTTTTCAGTGTCTTCGGGGTTGATTGGAATTTGCCAATAACCACTTACCATATCAAGCCTACTAAAATAAACACTGTTCCCTAATTTATCTATAAGTGTTTCTATAAGAGGCAACGGTTCTGCATCCGATTTAGTAATTTGATTTAATTTTCTGAAGTCTATACACAATCTACTTTTTTTATTTTCATCTTTTTTATAAACTAAAGTTACTGGAGCAGAATAGGGAGAAGAGCTTTCTTTAATTATATTATGCTTTAACAATTCCTCAATTTGTTTATCGATTTCCTCTTGTTGTTTTGGGGAAATTTTGTATGCTCGTAAGGATATTGGTAAGTCAGATGTTAATCTTACCCTTTGAGGTTCAATTCTTATTGTACCTACATCATATTTATCTTTAGCAAAAATATCTGAAAAATCTTCTAAAGTTTCCTGAAGTTGGAAATTTTTTTCATCATCTTGAATTTGCATAATTCTGTCAACATGATTTTGACAATGTTGGCCGCCATTATCACATTTATTCTCAAGAACATTTGAAAATTCAAGATTATTTTCAGTTTTGCTATTTAAATCTTTATGTTTAAGTCTACTTTTTGCTTTATTTTTCTTAGAATTCTGTTTGTTTACCTTTTTATTTTTGTTTATTCTCATGTCCAAAATTTTATTTTCCATAACAAATTCTTCCTTTTGTTTATTTTTATTTGATTTAACATTTTTTCTTTTATTTCTACTTTCCTTATTTTTATTCTTAGCTTTATTTTCTTTATTGGTATTTTTGTTGCAATCATTAACCTGGATTTCAGGAGAAATGTGTAAAGACAAGTTGCTTTTATAATCCGAAAAAGTGATCAGTTTTCTCTGATTTTGCATTACAACTCGTTCAACACAATCTATCACAAATTTAAACCCATTACATTCCTTTAAACCCAATATGGCATAAGGTAGATCAGTATTTAAAATGCAAAATTCCACTGACCTAGCTATATTTCCAATTTTTAAATTTAAAGTACAGGTTTGGTCAAGTTGCAAAATACCTTTTGTTTGTTTTACATTAATAAAGTTTTTCCTTTCTTAATGGAAATAAGTTTTTCAAAAAGTTTAGTTGGGATGATATTTAAAGTACTACCTGTATCAATATTTAACAGGATAGTTTTATTTGTCAAAATTGGGTATTTGTCACTTTTATAGTTGTCATAAGTATTTAGTATGTATCCGGATACTATTAATTGTCAATTTCGTGGTTGGTCACTTTCTTGTTTATGCTGAGTTTGATTCTTCAGTCATAAAAGAATTAGGTTTGTTTATACAGTTTTGGCCCCAATGATAAGCATTGGTTATACCAAGCTTATCACAGTATTTTCATGGCATAGGAGGCAACTCCTGGGAAGCCTAGGCGAAATAACTAGTTTGTTGTTTATTTTTATGAAACTTTTCATTTTGAATTTTAGGTCTAAATTGGGATTGTTGGTTATAACTTTGACTTGGCCGGGAAAAATTTTGATTTTGTCGAGGATTATAATTTGGATAACCCAAGTTGTTAAAGAATGGCCGCCTTGGTATCCAGCCTTGATATTGTGGCCTATACCCATTAAATTTGGATTCTGGTAATTTTTTAGTTTTAGTTTGGGGTAAGGCCGTGGGTACATCATGTATTATTTTTGAAACAATTGTGAGCCATTCAATTGGGGTTTTGGGTTCTTTTAAAACCAAAAGTGTTTTAATTTGGGGAGGCAAACCTATAGATAGACCCTCAATTATATGATCATTACTTAAATTTATTTTTCGACCTAACTCTACCTTTTCAGAAAAATATGAATTTAGGTCTTTAGCTTGCCCAGAAAATTTTAAATTTTGAAAATCGTTGAAGCCAAAGGGAGGTGAAAAATAATGTTCTTGAAAAATTTCAACTATTTCTTGATATGTCTTACAATTAAGGCAGTTATTAATATACAATTTCAAAGCTGAACCTTTAATGAATTTTTGAAAATTTTTAAATTTCCAATCGTCATTTAATTTAGCATCGATAGTTAGTTTTTCGAAATGTTTGAGCCAGGCTGTGAATTGAACACCAATGTCAGGTTCAAAGATTAGTATGTCTGGTTTATCATGTACATTTTGATCTATACTTAATTTTTGTAAATTATCATTTACTTCATTTACAGAATTTTCTGCATTGCTTTTAGCATTTTCATCCATGTTAAATTTGTAGTTTTTGCCTCTCCGTAAGGGCATTCAAACAACCAAAATAAATTTCATTAACTAAATATAACATTTAGTAGGAAAAAAATTTAAATTTATGAATAGCACACATTTTGCTTTTTTAAACACCATAATAAAATAAAAATTTAAATTTTACTTCTACAATCAATATAATATACACTGTGATATATAATGCAATAGAAAAAGTGATTCCTTAAATAATGATTAAAACTATAATCATACTGAATCATAAGCGGGGAAAAAAATATGTGATAGCACTAAATTTTAATATCATTATTTAATTTAAACAAATGATATTATATACCATTGAATAATAGCATCAATAAATGGAACTATTATCAAAATATAAATATCAATAGATAAATATTTGGAACAATAAATATCAAGTATTCACGTTTCAAAAGTATTCACGTTTAAAAACTTAAACTGGTATAGAAAATTTTGAGAGTAAATACCAATCACATCTGTATTTAATTACCAATAAATCACTTCTAATATTTGATGAATCACGCGCACACGCGAGCGGAATCATAGTCACCACTTTAGATCACATTTTTAGTCATCTTCCGTTCAAGGAAACACAGAAGAACACTCGAGAAAATCGCCAAAAAACGAAATCAATTCGAACATATGCTGAACCTTTATCAACCCTCAATGAGACCGACAAGCAGCAAGCAAGTAGGGCAACACAGCAAGCACTTGCTGTAAATCCGCAAGAAGCTAATTGTTGATGGTAACACACGGTAGGCGAAAACGAAACCAAAACAGCGAAGACATCAATTCTTTAAAGGCGATTCCGGTACGACGATAGAAGCAACGTCTGGATTATTAAGGAGGAAAGTCCCGAAATTCTCCTCTTTTAATTTTTTGGCATCATATTCTTTTAGTCAGGATAATATCTGTTTCACGAGCAACGCCGGCATCTCCCAAAACTTCATTCGATTGTTTTCTACTTTCCTTTTGTATTTATATATTTTTTTTCTACTTATTTGAAAAAAGCATTTTTAAAACGGAACCAGTGAAAAAAAAAGTGCCAAACCAACTGCAAAATTGATCCTGCAAGGCTTGAAAGGGTAGCAGTCATGGTGAATGTTGTTAGGCCACGCAGATAGCAGTTGGAAGGCAAAAAATACTTTATTAACTTCACATAGTATTTAAGACATTTTCTAGCAAAGGCAGAGCTCAAATTCGCCCTCAAAAACTGTGTGCTTCAGTTTTTATCTTAGGGAAAGTAGCAAAAGAATTTCCCTCTATTTTTATATATTTGAGGGGAAAAGGGAAGTCCCAAGGATTACTATTGGTTTATGAAAGAGATCGAGCGTTTCCCACACAGAGCAAGGGGAAATATGTCCTGCTCTTAATTAAATGCATAGTTGAGCCAAAAATAGATTTAAGAACAGGATGTGGCTAATTAATTAGGAATAGAATAATAATTAGGAATAAAGTAGGAGTGGTTTTATAGCAAAGAAACTAACATAAAAAGATTAATAGAAGCTTTTTATGTTACATATAGGGGAGAGGGGGGCACATGTGAAC